CCTCTTCCTGCTTCTTTCCCATTCAAACGGCAACCTGAATATATTTCAGGATAGCTTCAATCAGTTTGAAGCTGATGTCATCTTCATGAATAATAATCTCGTAGTTTGTGGTGTAAATGTTAATGTGTGTGCGTTTGCGAGTACGTGTGTGTGTGTGTGTGTGTGTGTGTGTGTGTGTGTGTGTGTGTGAAGACACCAGTCTCGACAAGGACAGTTATGTTACAATGATTAGAATCATAGAATCTATTAACTACAATAAATAAGTTTCGGACAGTGTTGTAATCAAAGTTTACTTTCGGTGTTCAAGTTTGAGAATCACTGTCTCCCCCCCCCCCCTCCTCTCCCTTCCCCCTCCCAGTGTCTTGTTCTGGTAACAGTATTTCTGCTCCTAAAAATGACATGTAGCAACCCCCAAAGGCATGCTCCCAAAACCACGTCATCGTAGAACTTTCGTTTGACAGAATAAATCTCGCGAAGGACACTGCCAAATAGTCATGTGTCAATCTTTGTATTATACTCGTATGTTGTCTTTCCGAAAGACTTTAGAATCTGTGTGTTTCCGCAGCCTGTCACCTCCAGATTAAACAGGAAGCAGGATACTGGTGTTTGGTGCTGAACAACACATTATTGTTGAACAGAAAGGCCTAAAGATTGTGTAGTTGCGCGTCGTTTACCACAAGAACACAATGGCAGAGGCTCCGCCACTGGGAAATCTTGTGCAGGTTCAATCCAGTAACAATGTTTCGTTATGGGGCTCAGTAGATTTAAACTTTGTTTGAGCACCCACAGATGATGATGATAAATATTTTTATTTTTGATGTTTGACACAATCATAACTAAATATAGTAGTATATCTAAGAGAGAACTGGTTGACTGACTGTCTACCCCACCCGGACATCACACAAGCGATAAACACCCGATGACACAAAGTGCCACCATGTGGGTGAGGATCATCGTGGAGAGGTCCCAGAAACCGCCTTCAGCCTTTAGGCCATATTTATGGCCAGGCTATATTGCGGCCCCTGGCCAAAGCCAGAGTAGGGCTTCAAATAACGAGAAATTTCATCTTAAAAAGGACGAGAAGTATTTAAAAGTGAGGACATCAATGCATGGTTAAGTTAGGAGCCCCCTTGCAAACTGTCTGGGGTGTGGCATGATGGGGTGCGGTAGAAAGAAGCACAATCCCCTGAAATTACTGGGAGGCCTTCCCTCAGTTAGTGGTGGGGTGTGCCTGAGCCACTAGGCTCCAGTTCCTGTGACAAAGAGCTTTGTCGAATTCCATGATGTGAAAAGGACACTTGCAGACAAAATATAAACATGAGCCTTGTATTGAATTACAACACTCTTATATCTGGAAATTTGGTAACGCTAAAAACGTATTTATTATATAAGAGCAAAAGTTAAAAATATATCCCACGAAAGGCATTGACATTATGTTGTATCTAAATTATTTGCAGACCAAGTGTCTCTGTGAATAATTGTTACACTCATTCTTCTTCTTCTTCTACTTTACGTCCTCTTCTACCACTGCGGGTGTCGAGGGAGATATAAGGTCGTGCTTCGTGCTCTTCTGGCTGCTTCGACCATAGACACATCCTGGTGCTGTAGAGTTTCTCTCATGTTATCTTCTCATATTGTTCTTAGTAGGGCTGTACGGAATAGTGATTTTCTCTATAGTGAATATTCTAAAAAAAAAAAAACACACACACACACACACGCACACATTGATAATGTAAAATGCACGCTGACCTTTTACTTCACATAAAGTAGCACAGAATAGTCATCTTCTTCTTTAGCATTCTGACCCCTTGAGGTTTACTGCTGTAGATATCACTCGTCTCCATTCATCTCTCTGACTGGTCTTCTCTTCACATTTTGTAACACCAGTTGTTTGCAGGTCTTGCTAGACATTATTTCTCGAACTTCTTCTTTTTCTGCCTCGTGGTCTACGTCCGTTCCTCTGCCAGGTGTATACAGTTCTACTTCTCTGTCATTTGACATTCCTTCCATATGCCCCAACCATTTTAGTTTGTTAGCTCTCATGATGCCAGTGATCAATGGTGATTTAAACAGATTATGTGTTACGTTGTTGCTTCTCACTCTCCATTCCCCGCTTTTAGCATCTTTGACGGGTCCAAAGTTTTGTTGTTAGACTGTTTTCGAAAACCTGTAATGAGACTTCATCTCTTTTATTTCTGCTTCAATTTTTAGAGTCTTATAAAACGACTGGTCTTATCAACGTTTTACATATTTTGATCTTGGTGTTGCGAGACAGACACTTGGACTTTAGCAGATGTTGAAGGGCATAGTATACTTTATTTCTAGATTGTATTCTAGATTGTATTTCTTCTCTCATCATGTTGGAGCAGTTGAAGTTTTCGCCCAAGTACTTATATGTTTCCGTTCGCTTGATTTTCATATAATGTCGGAGTTTATATTCTTTCCATGTCTAGTTAGTATTCGTTCAGAATAGTAAACATTTAAAAACATTTTATGTTTTGCATCCTTCAGTCAGTCTGTGGTAACTAATAACTAGGAATGAAAGAATCGTAAGTATTATAACAAGTAACTAAACTTGGACATTGTCACTCATAGCTTACAAAACCAATCGTTCCATGTTATCAGTTTTTAGGCCGTGTAAGCATAAGCGGCTGTAAGGTAACTACTATTCGTATTCGGCCCGACTGCAACTATTCGGCCGAATACCGAATAGTCTATAGGTCCACTATTCGGCCCCGAAGCGAATACGAAGCGAATATTCGGTACAGCCCTAGTTCTTAGTCTATTTCTTGCTCTACGCCCCTCTCCTCTTTTGGTATATGCTTTGTATGGTATAAGCTTCAGAAAGCATTCTCTCCAAGTGGGAAAACCATTTGATTCCCTGTCTTTGTATGTAATTTAGAATTGGTTCTATGCCCACTTTATCTTGTATGATCTCATTTCTGATTGTATCTCTTCTGGTCACTCCCGCAGTCTTTCTCAGACACCTCATTTCCATAGTTACTAATTTTCATTTATGTTTTGTTGTGAATGACCACGTCTGGCATTGGTAGCATAGGATGGGAATGAATATGCTTTGTATGAGATGTCTCTTTGTGCTGACTTGGATTGCCTTATGCTGTAAGAGCAGTTCTATCTGAGTCGTTTAATTTGATTTTGTCGGTTTTTATACCTCCTTTAGTCTTCAAAATGTATCGTGTTAGCGTATTTAATTGTTCAGGTGGTGTTGCCGAGGTGTAGCAGATAGACGCTCGTCTGCGGATTGGAAGGTCGTGGGTTCAAGCCCTGGAGTTGCGGACTTTTTCAAAAATGATCTTGGCTTCCAGGTCGACCCAGCCTTGAGTGTGTACCAGGTACAGCTCTGGGAAGTAAATGCGGCTGGCGTGACATCATAATCATAAAAAAAAGGTTGTTGCGTATCCTCTAGAGGACGTTGCAGAACCAACCCTAACAGCCCCTGGCTGTTGTGTGGTTTCTCTAGGCAAATTTACGTCCAGTAGTTTGCCATTGCTTCTGGACGGTCGGCTTTCTTGATACCACTGTCGAAACCAACGCAAGGCGCATTGCCCGCAGCTGGGATCGAACCTGGCATCCCGGCATTACGAAGCGAAGTGTTCGCATCGACTTAGCCACAGAGCCGACTATCATAATCATATGTGTATTATAATCCTCGTATTAGACTTTGTATTCAAATGATTATTTCTGCTCATAATTCTTCGTAGTCTTCTTTTGTTCGCTTTAAATAGATTATCTATATCTGCAATGTTGTCTCTGTATAAACGTCACTGTCTTTTATAATTCACTCAGCGACCCCTAAAGTTTGGCTTGCACCAATGTTTCTCTTGGTCAAAAGTTTTTCCTTGATATGTTCTATTTTGGGACAGTTTTTGGGGACGTGTTCTGTTGTCTCAGGTGCTAATTCACATTCACACATGGCTGATTCGCCAATCTTAGGTTTTATTTACATGTGGCTGCGAAGTCGATTGTGTCTTGTTCTAAGACATAAAATAATGATATACTCTGATCATTCCATTCTATCGTAATCTTCTTTCACCGGTTTTGATTTTCTAGTTGATTTTATTAACCTCTTCTTTTGTTGATAAGAGACTGGTACGTCAGATTGTTCTTTGTGTGCAACCTTCCTTTTCTTGTTTTGCTCATTATTGAAAAAAGATAGGCACAAAAGGTCGGTCAGCGTTTTGTAAAACAGTCAAGCCGTGTGGAAACTATATTATTTAACCTCTCAACTACATGTTTTCTTCAGATGGACGAACGGCATCTCCCATCTCCATTGCTCAGAGTTAAACGCTCACTAAAAATATGGGGAAAATGTGAAGGCTCCTGTTATAACAACAGTGAACAAACTAATAGCGAGAACGCCCGCCAGGACCTTGAGCGGATTAGCCCAGTGTCAACATCTTTAACCAGCAACAAAATGTCCTCTGTTTTGTACACCGACAAATAAATTCTCCCGGACGCGTATTAAAATGTCAGTGCGGGGCCTCTGTGTCCTTTATTTCGTTTCATCTGACCAAGTTGTCTCGGGTCTCCACTTCCCAGAACTCCACCAATCAAACATGATAATCAGGATACGTCTTTGAGATTGTCCGCAGTGATCACGGAGTCGTTATTTTAAAAAGTTTAATTTGTTTAAGAGATATTTGAAAAAGCTTTAGTGATATTCATTATCGAATAACCACACCAACTACTAGCTGACTGTCTAAAGCAGTCTATAGGCTTTAGCAACCGTTAAAGAACGTTTTTTTTTTTTTGTTCTCAAGCATCGGCCAAAATTTTGGGAATTTAAATGTCTTATGCCACAGATGATTGTTACCCTTCCTAAGTTGCGCAGTGCGTGAAGTTGTTAATTTTGCATAATCTGGCTTAAAAAGAACATGTTTCTGCAGATTTCCTAAATTATAACCATATCAGTACGTTTGTTAAAATCTAGTTATCTAGTTCAAATTCGTTGTCAGCGGACCGCAAGAAGCCATCACCAAATGTTTGTCATGAAGATGCATCAATTAACTACTATAAGCCTGGTGTTGGCAATCGCCGTTAACTGCGTCATGGCAGAGGATGAGGGCGGCGAAGACTACTATGGCGAAGAGACGTGCGAGAACGAGAGCTTCTACTGTGATTATGACGATGCTTCTATATTCTACAGATGTATTGACGGCAACTTCCACACATTTCATTGCCCTTCTGGTCTGCACTTCAGGTAGGTTTCTCAGTTTATTTACAGAGCAAACAACCGTTCATTGTCTTGTACCATTATATGTCGCATAGGCCTCGCAGTTTATCTCCCTATTTCGTTGTATCAAGGGTAATTATTTCGATATCATGGATGGAATTCAGTCCAGCACCTTCGACTTACCGCACCAAAGTTTCTTTTAGGGACTGGTTTTTTTTTTTTTTACGTCTTTGCTTTCTCAATCTTTGTATTTTCCATTGTAGCACATGCTTGGCGATTCTTCGCTCGTTTATTCTCAGGATTTGTCTAGTATAGCGCCATCTTCTGTGTCATGTAACCATTGCTACCTATGGTGGTCAATACATTTCTTTTAATTCTTCACCCCTCTTAAATCCTTTCTATTTTATTTTCAAAATTTTCCTCAGGTATTTCTTTTAAAGTGCATTTAACTTTCGTTCCATCTATTTTGTAGATCTCCAACTTTTACTGGCATATTTTAAAACCTAACTAAGATAAAGAATTGAAAGTACGTAACTTAGTTTGAAAACTATTTACAATTTAGAGTTATGTGTCTGTTTTAAAAACTACACAATTTATAATTTTGAGTCTGAGTTCTGACTTTTTGAAAATAAAAGCCATTTTCAAGCCCAGTGGCATAACGGGGCATATTTTTTTAATAGACTGGACAGTATTATAAGTGTGATATTGTCGACATCACGCAGACAGCGTTTCTTTCCCAGAACATTTCCTTTCACCAAGTTTAGGCCTGGCTGACATGAGAACCAAGCCATATAACTTGTAATAAATACAACTTGATGTACATTCGAACCTAAGACCTTGGAGTAGCCAGACATATGCTTAGGCTGTATTTTAACGCTGCTGATATTTTTTGCCCATCCTACTGCTACTGCAGTACTCGCAATTGCTATAGTCCGTTCAAAAAGTTGTACCCAACTTTAAACATCTGGAACTTGATGAGATTTGGCCCGCAGGCTGTTAAATAATCATATCCTTTTTAAAATAATTATAATGTAAACAAACATACATTTTTTACTCTGTGTTATTGTTTGGTTTATGAGTGGGGGGGGGGGGGGGGGAGATAGACACCGACTGAAACAATACGATTAGCATATTTGCAGTAAATATAAATGGCACGAATTCGGCAAAACATAGCTTTGCCCGCGTTTATGAGGTTTTCTGTGCGAAAAACTTAGGGCGCGCTTATTTTGAAAAGGGAAGTGGTACGTCGTGTACTGTCATAATGCTGTTAATTGCCTCATAAAAGAGTACACGATTTGTGTCAATTATTGTGAGTGTGCGTGTGGTTTTTTTTTTTTTTTTTTTTAAGGGATAAAATATTACGAAGATCAAAGAAACTTTTCACTGTAAGAAAAAACTAGCACCTGTTCAACTGTAAATTATGAAACCATAAGGATCTGAGAGATCTTAAACCACGTGCAAAAAGTTACGTTGATCCATAGAGGAGTTTTCGAGATGTTTTTCAAAGTTCAAAGGCACGACTTTTAAAATGGATTATACCACATATCCTATTACTAAAGATTAGTTGCGTATCCTTTACAGGACGTTGCAGAACCAAACCTAACAGCCAGGGACTGTTGTGTGGTTTTTCTAGGCAAATTTACGTCTAGTAGTTTGACATTGCTTCTGGACGGTCGGCTTTCTTGATACCACTGTCGAAACCAACGCAAGGCGCATGGCCCGCAGCTGGGATCGAACCAGGTATTACGAAGCGTTCGCATCGACTTAGCCACAGTGCGATCCTATTACTACTATTTATCAACTGTAGGACTACAATTAAGTTTTTACTTTTTCAAACTTTTTTTTTTTTTTAATGCGCACTCATGGTGTTTGAAAGGATACAATGTTGCCTTCAGATGTTAAACCATATTCGGATAAGCTATCGAGGTCCCATTTTGCAAGTACACTCTTTTGGACAACAATGTAATGTGACGCGATATTCGGTTAAAAATAGTCCACAGATTTTTGTGATTCGAAAATATCCTCTTATTGTTAACGAAATAGACAAACGATCTGTATAAACAATACTGTGGCAGTGTGTAAACAATAGTGTACTAGCACCACACATATGACACTATGTAAAAGTAAAAAAGAGTAAAGATCCCTTGCCACGCCTTTAGGCGTTTCTGGTATATGGGAAAAGCGCCCATATTTTGTCAGACCATCGGCACTAGGTGGGTAACGTGGTCAGCATTACGCCGGCCGTTTTTACTTCCCCAGGACACCCATCCGGGTACCCATTTCAGGCTGGGTTGACCTGCGACGCCTCATACCACGATAAAATTTCACGTAGCCGGCAGTGGGTTTTGATCGCGGTACGTTGGAATTACGAGTCGGACTCGCAACGCCTAAGCCAGGGACACTGCATATGACACTATAACATACCTTTATATATTTTAAGAGTTTATAGAAAACAAATTCGCAGAAACCTAAAAAAGTCGAAGTCGATGCGTGCTAATCGTCTGATCGTTGCTTATATATAATTATAGCCAAAAAAAAGTAGAAAATATAATAAACATACAAACATCTGTATGGGTAATTATATGTTATTGTGTGTGTGTGTATATATATATATATATATATATATATATATATATATATATATATATATATATATATATATATACACACACACACACACATAAAATGCATCATTTAATTAATACACTGATACAATCAGACGGTTACTGGTACCATCGGATTTTTAACTCTTCGCTTGCTGCTGAAGACGGGGACAAAGCGCTTATGGGGGTGTCCTAAGTGCTGTGATGTCGATTCTTGTTCAACATTCAACATTAGTTAGTTAGTTAGTCTTTCCTCTTGTGTCGAGTGCGGCACATAGGGCAGAGGTCATGACTCTCCGTGCATGGCGGTTCGTTGCAATCCGTTGTAGGTCTTGGATGTTTGAGTGGCCCATGAGCGAGCCTTCCCTGATGATAGTTCTACGTAGGGTTTCCCTTGGTCTTCCACGAGATCTTTTCCCCTGTGGTGTCCAAATGAGGGCTTGGTAAGGAAGTCTTGATTTATCCATTCTAAGGGCGTGGCTGACATAGTTCCAGCGGCGTTTTCGTATAAAATTAGACACATACTCTTGCCTGGATTCTTGCCTTATTCGTGTATTGGTTCGGAAATCTGACCATTTGGAATTTAGTATTCTTCTAAGGCATTTATTGTCAAAACTGTCTAATTTTGTGTCTAGAGTTTTCGTTGATTTCCAGCTCTCGCATCCATAGGTTAGTACTGGAATCACACAAGAATTTAAGATCTTGAGTTTTGTGTGTTTGCTAAGTGTCTTTGATTTCCAGATGTTAGACAGTTTATTGAAGGCACTAGATGCCAGTGCTATTCTAAATGGTATTTATGGTGCGGTATCTCCTGTAGATGACATCTTGCTCCCTAGATAAGTGAAACTGTTGACTTTTTCAAGGCTGTTGTTGTTCAGTGTGATATCAACTGAACTGTTGGTAAAGTCTAGAATTTTTGTTTTTGCGGTGTTAATTTGGAGTCCAATTTGTTCTGAGAATTTCTGGAGTCGATTGATTTTTTCTTGGGCGTCTGTGTGTTCTGAACTCAGGAGTGCTATGTCGTCGGCGAAGTCTAGGTCTTCCAGAATTTTGTCAACCCATGTAATGCCTAAATTTGGCGTTATGTATGCACTTGCGCATGACCCAGTCGATTGCCATACCAAAAAGCATCGGCGATAGGACACAGCCTTGCTTCACTCCTGTTTCCACCGGGAACCAGTCAGAATTGCCGGAATCAGTTCTTACACAGCATCGTGTTTCATTATAAAAAGATTTTATGATGTTGATATATTTGATGGGGAAACCATAGATGTTAAGAAATTTCCATAGTGTTGGACGATGGATACTGTCGAAGGCTTTTTGAAAGTCGACAAAGTTTATCAATAATTTCGACTGGAATTCTGTAGAATCTTCAACAATTATTCTAAGAGTAAAGATGTTGTCTATGCATGACCGCTTGGATCTAAAACCGGCCTGTTCTTCCCTTAATCTTTCATCTATGGATTTTTTCAATCTTTCTAGTATTCAACATTAAAAGGAGTCAAATAATCTCTCCTATAATTTATTGGATAAATAGATTAAACGAAAGTCTTTACATCAATCCATAAAAAAATTATATCAAACAAACAAAACAAAATAGTTCGTAATGATAATTTTTATCAATAATAATTTTTTTTAACATAATTATATTTTTTTTTAAACCTGTGTATATGTATAATACCTTGGGCAGCCAAAAAGAGCAACCAAGAGGTTTTGAAAGAGGCGGGAGCCCGAAGACAACGTATCACAGACATCAGAAGAAGACAGTCATCATTTTTCGGCCATGTTATGAGAAGAGGGAAAATAGAACATGTGGTGACCACTGGAAAGATCTGTGGAAGGAGGGATAGAGGAAGACATGGAGAGAAGATTCTTGACAGTCTTGTTGCATGGCATGGAGGTGTGTCGGCACACGAACTGATACATGCTGCAGGAGCTCGCAGATTGTGGAGAGGCATGATCGCCCACGCCAGTCGGCAAGGCACCTGATAATGATTATGATATTTATTTGTTGTCCAATATTCTCAGTTAAACTTGTTTGCTTGTTTGTCGCAATGTTTCATGCATGAGCTACTTGCAGTAAACGCAAAATCCAATCAATCCCACAGTTCTAGTATGCAGACGTGTGACTGGCCTCACCTTGCCGACTGTTCCAACAAAGAAGAGCCAACAGAGGATGTGGGGGGACACGGAAATGGCGAAAGTGTTCACAACGAAGAAGACGATAAGCACAATAGTGTTCAGTCTGAGGATCAAGTCGTTGATGAAGGCGCTGAAAGCACTGGAGGTTAGAAGATATTTCTGTCTTTGTGTCGTTAAGGGTTGTGGGGAGGAACAGTTTATGATCCATTGCTTAATGGATAGCAATGACTATTGCCATTCCATGTCACTATAGAAGCAAGGTCATTAATGTTATCAACGTGTTGTCTCCTAGTGCGAATTTCTGTTTTTACAAAAGATATTTTAATGTGTAGCGTCTGTATTTGCAGTTATTGTGGATGCATTCTGTTCGGGTACCCAAATCTTCGGTGTCTCGATGAATTTGGTACATGGTGTTGTTATCTGTTATAACGTCTGTTCAATTAGTGATTGGTTTTGTAAACTACAGACAGTGAACATATGTCATACCTAAAGAACATTGAACACTCATTCTCAAAACTGACTCTTTGGTAAAAGAACATGATTTGCCAGCCTCTGAAGAATCAACCAATCAGCGACGCTGCTAGAAGTGCATGCGCCTATGATGTAGTGATTATATGAAAATCATCATCATGTAGTAGGTCCTTTGCAGGACGTCGCTCTCATCACAGTCTGCCTGAAAGAAACTCGGTCTCTTGCCAGTTCTCCAGCCTCATGAACTTTCACACTCAAGGAGTCATTTATATCCTGTGCCCACCTTCGTGTCTGTCGGCCCGTGCCCCTCCTTCCTGGTACCATGCCTTCTGCAATAATTTTTTCCAATCCGTCGTGGCGCTTGATATGACCAAAATATTTCAGCTTTCGAGAAAGGATGCTGTTTATTAGCCAATCTTCCTTGATGTTCAGATCTTTTAAGATGTCACTATTTCTCATCTTCTTTGTCCAAGATATTCTGAGAATCTTTCTATAGCATTTCAGCTCAAAAGCCCCTATTCTCTTTCTTAAGGACTGAGAGATAGTCCACGACTCACATCCGTATGTAGCCACAGGGAAGATGCATGCTCTCAAAATTCTAATTTTTATCTCTTTGCTGGTGCTTAACCATAGACTTTTAAGGCTGTTCAATCTTTGCATTGCTATGGCCATCCTTCTTTTAATTTCTGTCGAACAGTCTCCATTGTTGTTAATTATAGAGCCTAGATATTCATAGTTTGTGACATTTTCAATTTCTTCTTTATTTATTGTTATTTTTGGGTGACTGCCAGTTTTATCTGTGGACATTATTTTCGTTTTCTTTAAATTCAAGAACAGATTTTGATCTTCACTGTGCTTTTGGACAGACAATATTAAATTTTCTATTCCCTTTACGCTGTTCGAAAGGAGGACTGTGTTATCTGCGTAGTGGAGTTCCTGAATAGGGTTGCAACCAATTTTGAGTGGATCATAACTGTCACAAGTCTGGTCATTTTTGACAATTCTCATTATATTTTCTGCGTATATATTGAATGGGTATGTTGAGTTATATGAAAATAGCTAAGCCAAAAACCTTCAGTATATGAGAGGAGATATTATCATTACTAAATTAGTATGTTTCGACTTTTTGACCCTTCAGAAATCAATGGCTAACAACGGAAAGTAAAACTGTCTATTAAAATCAGAAACAGTCATCCTTGGCTGGCTACGCAACTTCCTGTAAATATGCAAATAACTGCTGAATTTTTTTTTAAACGAAAAAAAGAAAAAAGTTGAATGCATTTAACAACTAATGCCTGAGAAAATGATCGAAAATTAATTGTGATGAATTCTTCTTTGCACTCACCAAATGCAGGTAGGAAAGTTCCGGTTCTTCGTTCACTTATGGACCTAGTCTTTAAAAGTCCAGAACTTGAGGTTTGCATGCACATCCGTTTTACAGATCCGGTGTACATAGAATGTTGGTTCTTTGCCTCCCAGGCAGATGCCCTCTAACTTCGAAGGAAAATCTCTAAACCCTAATCGGTCGAAATTTACAATATACTTATTAAGGAGGCAGTGGGTCGAATGTATTTTTTTAATAACACCCCCCCCCCCTTAAAAAGCTACACCCATAACCCCATGCTTCACTGCAAATAGGACACTAGATTAGGATGGCAATGATGCAGATGATCTTTTTTTTTCTTTCATACAACCTTATAGAGCGGCTGGCACATCGTGGGCGTTTTTAGTTGCCCTTTCCAAAATGTGTGTCGGTTTGTTTTTAATTAATTAGATGTGGTACAATTTTTATGTGATTTTCCGCTCAAAATTATTGTTGTCTAACCCCCCCCCCCCCCCCCCCCCCCCTTTTTCCCCCCCCCCCCCCCCCCCCTCACCAAATGTCAACCTGAAAGATTAAGAAGCAGATAGTCTATTTTTTTCCCGCACACATTTTGATCCAAAATCTGAACGGCGAGATGATAATAATAAAATGGTCATAATCGTCTAGCAATGTTAATAACGTGCTGGGGATATTAGTATTTTGCTTTACTTTAACTGTACTCTGTTTTTATAGGTTTTTATGAAGTTCTGTTTTGTCTGTTTGTTTGTCTGATACATTTATTTTTAAACATTGAATCAATTGCGTCTTAAAGCCAAGTTATAAAAAAAATTCACTTTATTCATTTCATAGAAAGTTCTTGGATAAGCCAAGCAGCTGCTTCTGGAAAGTCATGGTGGAGACCGACGGGACTTACGTCAGATCAGTGGCAAGATGTCAGCACCATTAAAAAACCTGTGTTTCTGCCCCACAAACCAGACAAACCTAAATCAGAACCTGAAAGTGAACCTCAGAAATCGGATGACGAGGAAAGTCCCCCAGCTCCTATACAAGTCAGTTCTACAAGCTCACACTCAGCGTCCATTGAGAGACCTTCATCATCAAGTGTCCATTGGAATGAAGGATGTAAGTTTCAGGTTTTCCAAACATAGCATTTTATTAGCCTTATTAAGTTATACCTATATGAGTGTTTTAAAACAGCTGATTTTTCATTTGTGGTAAAGGGAAATAATAAAACTGAGACAGTTTGATGCACTCTAAGGTGAAGGAAGAATTGCCTACCGCAGGATGGAGCATGGTCTGGCCTGCAACAGACCAACTCTCCGAGAGGGTTAAATATTTGCAGTTTGTCCCATCCATGACCACAGTTCACAGGTTTAATATCTAAGCAATGAAGGTGAAGAAGGTGAAAGATGATCGACTTTATTGTGCAAGGTTTTATCCCATATGACTCAGTCTCTCTACGTAGAACAGCTAGCAGCCTGCCAAGAGCGTCGCATAAGGCACGATCTCCGTACCTACGGCCAAAAACCCCAGGTATGTACGTAAAATTTTAACTGGTCAACTGAACGTGCCACCGTGGAACGAACCTACGACCTTCAGAACGCGAAGCAAACGGCTTGACCACTTCGCCATAGAGACCCCCACTCCTCAGCAATGAAAATCATTCTCGTACTTAACTCTGTAATCCCAGTAAATTCAACCGTAAGGTTATACCATACGTTAACGAAGCGATTCTCAAACTGGCTACCGCGGCGCCCAGTGGTGCCGGGACCGTATGTAAGGGGCGCTACAGGAAAATTCAAGAAATTTTTCCAAATCTGCTTGACATACAATTTGCACTCCCCTCTCTTCTCCCTCCCCTCCCCTCCCCCTTCCAACCCTTCTTTTCTTAAGTATTCAAACCACTTTAAGGGTAGATGTACCGCGAAATTGTTTTGTCCGAAGAAAAATGTTGGAAAAGCACTGCGTTAACCTATTGATGGGCCGGTTTTGTGACGTCAGCAGCATGACCTGTGAACTTGAGCCAGTTATACCGTGTCTCGCGCCGACTACGAAATAACCAAAGTCTGAACCAGGCAGGGATGAGTGAAATGTTTCCTTGCAACGTTATATTACTAGACTTATGCCATTTCCGGCCAGTTCTTCACTATATTTAAAAAATGCAGAAAACACTTCTAGCTAATTTCAAACATTAATTAGAACTGGCTATTAATAAGAATTCTCTACCGGAATTTCGGAGACTACAAATAAGCCAGATCTAGTATGGACGCAAACTCAAATTCTGGAACAAGACTAACGTCCAGAAGTTGATGAAAAACCAGAACTTTTCGCTAGAGTTTACAGCCAGTCAACGCTAAGAAACGAAACAGAAGATAATAATAACATCAGTTCTACACTTTGATACTACACTGTGATACTAAACTTTGATACTAAACTTTGATACTACACTTTGATACTACACTTTGATACTAAAATTTGATACTACACTTTGATACTAAACTTTGATACTAAAATTTGATACTACACTTTGATACTAAAATGTGATACTAAACTTTGATACTACACTTTGATACTACACTTTGATACTAAAATTTGATACTACACTTTGATACTAAAATTTGATACTACACTTTGATACTAAAATTTGATACTGTACTTTGATCTTAGCCAAGTGGTCGAGAAGCCAATACTACAATGCTGAAACATTAAAAAACATAATTGTTACAGTGATAAGGACTGACTGGCAGTTAATTATTTCTTTGACGGAAGTATGTACACCAAGGGATATAATGACTATTCAGAAGTTTTACTTAAGGAATGAGAATAAGGGACTTACAGCTAGGCTGCGATATGAGCCTTTCGGCCCAATACATCCGATTTAAGCAAAACCTCAATTTGTCACCTTTCTGACAAGCTTATTATGGAGCTGTGGGTCTATTCAGTTTCCCCACATTGGAGCTCCGAATTCACACAGTGATAGCAACAAATGAATACAGTTACATTTCAAGAGCATCTAGTAGAAGCAGCTAAAACTGTAAAAATAAACAATCAGCAGATCCTTTACAGGACGTCACTCTGGTCATGACACGTCTGTAAGTCTATCTTTATCCAATAGTCCAGCCCTATGTGCTTTCATAACTAATGCATCTTCAATGTCCAGTATCCACATTCGCGGAGCTCTGCCTCTGCCTAGCTCTCCATAAACTATACCCTCTATCACAGTTTTTTTCCAGGTCAGCATGACGTTTAAGCATGGTCATAAAATAACCTCAGTTTCCGGAGAGAATGCAGTGTGGAATGTCTGTGTTTTTCTTCTTTTTGGTCTACGGTATTCAAAGAATTTTCTGTAGCATTTCAATTCAAAAGCTCCGATTTTTATGTCATATTCGGTGATTTAGTAAGAGTCCATGACTCATCCATAAGTTGCCACAGGAAATTTGCATGATCTCAGTTTTTTTTTTTTTTTTAATTCGTTTGCATATATTGTGTTACAGGTTCCTCATACTGCATTGCATCTGCAAGTTTTTTTTTTTTTTTTTCTTTCTTTTGGGCAGTTGCCATTGCTATTCACCACTGAGTATAAATATTGAAAATGTGTTACTTTATTTTTCTTTTCAATATACATTTTAATACGTGATTGGTGTGCTGTTTTCATTGTAGAATTATTATTATTTTTTTTTTTCAAATTCAGAAAACGATTTTATTCTTCATTATGCTTTCTTTTGACTGTTAGAATTAATTTGTCCAGAATTAATTTTTCCAAGCCCTGTGCACTGTGGGGAAAAAGAACTGTCGTCCGCATTTCTGAGTTTTGAGACAGGATTGCCTTCAACTGTTAGCGGATGATCACTAATTGCATTTCTTATAATATTTTAGCATGTATGTTCAAAGCCATCGTCAACAAATATCGGAGAAAATTTTTAATTCGTTAGTATAAGAAGCAAACATCACTTTGTCTTCCACAGCCTGCTCTTCCTCCAATTGCCAGCTCCCAACCTGTTACTGTGCTGGAACCGAAATTCCAAAAGGACTCCCAGTATCTTCCGTACCACAGATGGTCATGATAACTTTTGATGATGAAGTTTCAGCGGCTTTTTACGGCTACTATCAAAGGTTATTCAGGCCTGGGCGTTACAACCCAAACGGATGTCCGGTGAGTAGCAGACGTAAAACACCTGGTCTCACATTAAATCTGCACTTAATATGTCATCTACGCTTAATATGTCTTTAGGGGCTGGTATATGGGCTCGGTGTTCGCTTCCAACCAGACGGTCTTTAGTTTCAATTTGCATAGACCCGGATTTTTATTTCCCAGACATTACCTTGACTTCCAGGTCTACCCATTCTGAAATAAGTACTAGGTGAAGTCCTGGGAAGTAAAGACGATTGGCATGATATCGAGAACATCACACACACAGTGACGATTAGTCTATGAAAATACGACAGTAACATCATTTGCCAGATGCGCCACTGGCGTAAAACGTAGTACTTTGCGGACTTTTTTTCTAACTTATTTTCATTAACTCTTTCAGTTCCAACCAATACATGATCTGTTACTGACTACTCTCCTCATGTCCCAACCATCGCAACAAGTGTCTTCTTATATTTAAGTTTCGGTCAGTCTATGCTAAGTAAATCTGGCAACCACAGAGGCGTTTTCCATTTGTTTTTCCTTCCTACAACACAGCACTTGGTTAGAATGTGTACGGCATTATTGAGCTAAAACAGTAAAGATATTTATACAAAACCTAATAGGATTAAAAGGCTTAATAATTATTAACTTCGACAGTGCAGTTATGTCATATAACAGCTGCCCGATGATATAATAATAATAATAACTCCACACAGGAATATGCACAGCAAGGGTCCACCGGTCATCAGTAGAGAGATCCTTTGTCGACGATAGTTCCGGCCTATTACTTCCCATGACAATCTCGGAATGGGGCTGCGTTAGCCCTGTAGATAGGAGACTCACTTTCAAATCCAGCTGCGACTCGCTGCAGCCCACAGCCGGTGTTTGAAAACGGGCGGTTCCCGGGGTTCACTCAGCCTCTAGGTAATGGGTACCAGAGTTAACACTCTGGGGTAAATGGAGGAACGTCGCTATAGCTACGGAGTTGCGTGCGGACGGCGACACATGTAGACAGTTTCTTATCATCTGTCCGTACTTGTGGCAGAGCAATTATGGTTTTTAACCGTGTGTAATTACGCTGGTTCACATCTCTAGACTTTACCTTTACCTGTACAATCTCGGGAGGTGGGCCGACCTGGGTCATAAAGCCGGGACCGATCTTCCCCTGCTGCACTTTATCGGAATCGATAGGGACAAGACGATTTGGTGACTTTGCAACAGGAGCTGTGAGATTTGGTGTTTTATTTGTCGCTGCGGTAGCAGATTAGATCAGCTGACTACCTTCACGACCAGAGTGACAAGCTTATAGTTGATTCATCAGACAAGACTTTCAAAAGATGACATTCTTCCTTGCGCTGTCATCTTATCAGGGGCAGTGTCGCGTGCGAATGTGCACCAGAACGCACCAGTACGGAGTGAGCAAATAAGACGTCAAAACAATACGTAACGTTGTTATGATATTGTTGTTGTCAAAAGCAGTTGATGTTTATAGTCCGAAGGAGATGGACGTGGGAATCCTTGAGGACGCTTTACCCCGGGATCCCACGGAAGCAAACGTTATATAAAGTTGGATCCTTGAGGACGTTTTACCCCGGGACTCCAAGACCTCAGCAGGAAGCTGGTAAACGTTACATTTTCGGCAGTACGCCGGTATACTTTCATTGCTTAATTCGGACGTGTCCGAGGAGAAAGTAAATCGTCTGGATCTCAAGGTCGGACTGCGACCTATCGTGAGGACATATCATTACATGGATGTACGAGCGAGCTTTGGTTGAACGAGTTGATTATTACTTGCATATGTATTCTTGAAATTGATCATTGCATTGCATTTGTCAATACACAAATGGAACTTTTAAAGAGAGTTCTTGTTCTACTACGGAAGCTTCAGCATTCATTACTCTTGGCCAGTGGCATGTTAAGTGTTGATGCCACTTGTTAACTTCTGACACCCCTAGTCACTTTTACACTCGTCACAATCAATGAAGCCTACGCAACGTTAAGGACGCACGTCACAGGCAGGTCACATGAAAGATATTTTCTGTTACATTATTGTTGTTGATTTTACCCAAGATATATCATACGGGTCAGCAAGATTATACATAATTCTGGTGGGGTTTTTTTTTTTTTCCTTTTTCAGGTTCGGGGAGGTTTGTACGTGTCTGGTAGTGGAACTGAATACGATCTTGTCTACCCATTGTATGCTATGGGCATGGAGATCGCTAGTCACACAGTTTCTCACAGGTGAGTGCCCAGGTACTGTTATTTAGATAACGATACTTGTTTGTCGTTAAGAAGACCTCTTATTCTTAGTCTTTGTCTTAGTCGAGGTTTCAACTTCCCTGCAGTCGAGTCATCCCATACTTGCTCCGTTCCTGTGCCAGTGAAAATCAAATGAAATGTCCCTCTCTGTCCCATTTGAAAAACTGGTTGACAAACAATTAGTCCCGGCACAATCCAGAAATATGCGCACGCATAAAATGCATATGGTGGTTGCTAGAGGCGCCAAAGCTGTCAGTCACCACTAGAAATGCAGTTTATCGTTGATGGAAGTACTCAGAAACAATAGGCTGGCTATACACACTTAACATTATTACACAAGGTATTTCATCAATCAACACGTAAGCCGAATACCGGCGATATTGATTTCTACGACACAACAGCTGCATAAATTAAAGTCATTACACGTGTAAAACACAGATCACAGGGTTGCACCAAGTATTAATCTCATTAGCTCAGGCAACGAAACGTAGACTTCGGTCCAGATGTGGAAACTGCATTAGCAAAGTGATGTCGAAAGCAAAAATAACTTGGAAACTAAACATTCTACAATGTCTAGTCCTCCATTTTGGACCGGAACTTGTTATTCTGTGATTCCACAGTGATACAACAATATAGCAGATCGACAGTATGCACTGCCATCTCTGGTTGGTTGATCATAAAGCTTTTAGACTTAAATCACGATTATCTTTAGAACAAACACACTTTTACGTTGAATACAAATAATTAATTAGGTCTCCCAAGGCACGTGTATTCACGTAGAGCTCTCCGTATGCTTCTTCTTCTTCCTATCGTTCACCTGCTGTAAACTGCTGCGGAAAGTTATGGTTGTTCGTAGATTTCTGGCTTTTTCGTATTCAGACTGTTGATTCCGCGCCTCTCAGGCTGAGCACTCCGATTTCGAAAGAAACTCTCATTATTGTTTCACTTGTAGAAGTAGCTTGTTAGGAAGGCAGTGGGTTGTATACCCCCCCCCCCCCCCGCCCCATTTACAACCCCCATCCCATAACTGGGCCCCGGGATTCAAATAAGCAGCCAAGAATGGAACGCGAAGTTCAGTATTCAAATGACTCTCTAGCTAGTTATCTTCCATTTCCCCTTCTCATGCGTGTTTTATGTTAAAGGCATGCATAGTACAGGTTTTCACTAGGAGCAGCCAATATTAAATACAGCCAACTTCAAGGAATTCTGAAGTTCTCTAACCAAATAGTTAGGCGAGTAAAACTTCAGTCTCTCACAAGCACCTCGATAGTCATTTCTATCTAATACTCTTGATGTTTTCAGATGGCTCAGTTAAATATCTGATTGTTCTATGTTAACGATGGAACAGATCATTCAAGACAGCTTGAACTTATTTGCCCATGTAAAACATTTAAAGATGGTGACTTAAAAGAAATAAACTCACAGAGGAGAAGAGTTACCAGCGGGGTTTTTTCTTTTTCCTAGGAAAAGTATTTTATTTAAAGGTTTGTGGTACTCACCTTAAGTATATATATTAAATGTTTCCTTCTGTTGCCCAGATTCCCCCATACTTGGTGGGCTACAGCAACTTATGACGACTATTTTGAAGAAGCATCTGGTCAGAAGGAGAACCTTATAACACGAGCTGGCATTCCCAGTGAGGCGATCAAAGGATTTAGAGTTCCGTTTCTGCAGCTTGGCAGTGATAATATGTACAGCGCATTATATGACTCAAAATTTGTGTAGGTTATTTTTTTATTTCAATTTTAGTTTGTTAAAATTGTGTGTTGTCTCCACAGGAGAAAATGGAGAATAATAACTATACGAAGAAAAAGACAGAGGAGAAGGGCAATGACGAGTGTACGAGGAAGAGCAATAGGGGGAGGATGAGGAGGAGAAAAAGAAAAGGAAAAAGCAGAAGAAGAAGAAGAAGAAGAAGAAGAAGAAGAAGAAGAAGAAGAAGAAGAAGAAGAAGAAGAAGAAGAAGAAGAAGAAGAAGAAGAAGAAGAAGAAGAACAAGAACAAGAAGAACAAGAAGAACAAGAAGAACAAGAAGAACAAGAAGAACAAGAACAAGAAGAGAAGAAGAAGAAGAAGAAGAAGAAGAAGAAGAAGAAGAAGAAGAAGAAGAAGAAGAAGAAGAAGAAGAAGAAGAAGAAGAAGAAGAAGAAGAAGAAGAAGAAGAAGAAGAAGAAGAAGAAGAAGAAGAAGAAGAAGAAGAAGAAGAAGAAGAAGAAGAAGAAGAAAGAAGGAAGAAGAAGAAGAAGAAGAAGAAGAAGAAGAAGAAGAAGAAGAAGAAGAGAAGAAAGAAAAGAAGAAGAAGAGAAGAAGAAGAAGAAGAAGAAGAAGAAGAAGAAGAAGAAGAAGAAGAAGAAAGAAGAAGAAGAAGAAGAAGAAGAGAAGAAGAAGAAGAAGAAGAAGAAGAAGAAGGAGAAGAAGAAGAAGAAGAAGAAGAGAAGAAGAAGAAGAAGAAGAAGAAGAAGAAGAAGAAGAAGAAGAAGAAGAAGAAGAAGAAGAAGAAGAAGAAGAAGAAGAAGAAGAAGAAGAAGAAGAAGAAGAAGAAGAAGAAGAAGAAGAAGAAGAAGAAGAAGAAGAAGAAGAAGAAGAAGAAGAAGAAGAAGAAGAAAAAGAAGACGAAGGAGGAGGAGGAGGAGGAGGAGAAGGAGGATGGAGTAGGAGGAGAAGAAGGAGGAGGCGTAGGATGAGGAGGCGGAAGAGGAGAGGGGCGTGCTGAATACCTTCCGCCTAACACTTGTCTCCATCGGCACTTGTGGTTAATGTTAGTTTCAGTTCATAGCAAACGGGTCACCCCATAGTTGCTCCACTCCTGTGCCCAAAAAAAAAAAACCACAGAATGTTTATCACAGTCTTTTGTGGAAAGATTGACAGACTGCTGTCTCAGCATATGCACTAGCATACACACACGCATTAAAAGCATAAGGTAGCCATCAGAAGTGCTAACACAAACAGTCCGACTTTAGAAATGCAGTTCGTCATTGACGGTAGCAGAGGTAACCAACAAATCAGCAGCTGCACACAGCAATCAATTTTATTCACATTAGGGCACTACCAATATTGCGACGACAGGAACGCGCCATTTTCTGAATCAACAATTCACAACATCATGTTGGTCACAATCGAAAAACATCCCAAATAAAATCCGCAGCTTACAGGGTCACACCATGCACTCAGCTCAGTAGCTGGGCGACGAAACTATATCCTTTAAGTCTACAAATAAAGCAAAAGTGCAATGGCCACCGTCTGGCAGAAGCAAAAATTTTGCAACGACTAAAAACAGTGACCGTGCCTAGCGTCCATTTTGACCTGTTTGTCACTTGGGGTCACTATAGAGTTCATGAATATATAATTAACCATTTGCGTACTGTTCATGCAGAGAGTTTATTAGTTTATTCGTTCTGGTAAGTTTTAAACAATTTATAATACTTTTTAAAACCATGTATCTTCAAATATGAAATCAGTAACCTCGGCAAAATGTTACATAAACAAACTTATGCAAATATTTGTTCCCACCATTAGCTATGACACATCCATGTTCACGGGAAATGAATGGGAAGGTGGTACTCCAGTCTGGCCCTTTACTCTGGATTATGTACCCAGTTCAGCTTACTGCCAGCATGGACCTTGTCCTAAAAAACAATATCCGGGCATGTGGGAGATTCCGGTAAGACTGCATTTAACGTTTTTATTTAATGAAACTATTCACATACTACTGATGGAGCACCTGTTACTTTTCTTATACGAAGTAACTATTTAAATTTTCAATTCTCATACACATACATTATCAAAAAGTGTGTCATTCACACACACACACACACACACACACACACACACACACATGAGCGCATATATGCGCGCGCATATACCTCTGGATAGAGAATTTGCATATAGTAATTTGTAAATAATTTATGAAATAATCAGCACCAAAAATGTATGATACATTGTAAATAAAGTGTAGTCAACAACTGACATCAATAATATATATTTATTGTCATAAACCGACACAACTGTGGATGCGTATGCACATTAATTCACGTATACGCCTTTTGATATATATATATATATATATATATATATATATATATATATATATATATATATATATATATGTGTGTGTTTGTGTGTGTGTGTGTTTGTGTGTGTGTGTGTGTGTGTATATGTATGTGTGTGTGTGTGCGATTATATATGTATGTACAGATTACTCATGTTTACACATCCAAGCACTGTGCTTTCAGATAACTACGTGGTATTTTTTCTGTAACACACACACACACACATACGCACACACACAAACTTACATACATTAGAGAGTATTTTAGTAAATAACAAGTAATTACAAGCAGCAAATTCCAGAAGTGGATGAACAACCAATACTCTCCGCTGGAATCTACAGCCGACGAACGCTGAAACACTTGGTATTATATTTTATTTACACCAAATTTGATTATAATAAAATTTGAACTGTTTTAATTGCTCTAAAAAATGTACGATATTATTACTAGTGTAATTACATTGGCAATGCCCTCTAGGTACAACGGTGGTATGGTCTCGATGGCCATTCTTGCGCCATGCCAGATGGTTGCAGCAGCACTAGCGATGCTGAAGAAACGTTGGAATATCTCAAATCCAACTTCAGGTAATTTTTGTGCGCCACACTTGTTATGTTCTCTCTGTTCTCTGTCTTCAACCCTCTCATCCTCTATAAACAAAGTGTTGGCAATATTAGTAATAGTAGTCGTAGTACATTTCACCCCACCAGGACATCACACAAGCGATAAACACTCGATGACACAAAGTGCCACCATGTGGATGAGGATCACCCTTGAAGAGGTCCCGGAAACCGCGTTCAGCCATTAGACCACATTTATGGCCGGGCTATATTGCGGCCCATGAAAAGAGCTAAGGTTGGGCTTCATAATAACGAAAAATTGCATCCCACAAGGGGAACGACGGTGAATGAACTGTTGACAGTATAAATTATGTCATTCAGTACAGTGCCGCCGCACAGACAGATTGCGCTACATTGGACACGACCTGAGAAGAAACGAGCAGAGAATCACCAAACAGCTCCCACCCCGACAATCTGTGATGAAAGCGACGTGATGAAGATGATGATTCTGATACTCTTTATTTTCAGTTTCAATACAGAAGTTGTAGGTATTTAAATTTTTTTTTTTATTTTTTTTTATAACTGATTTGCGCAATCACAGGATGGCTGTTACATTTCAGGCGTTTCTACAACTCAAACCGCGCACCGTTTGGTGTCTTCATACATGCTCGCTGGTTCAGCACCGAACATAACCTGGATGCTTTAGACAGATTCATCGACTACCTGCTGACTGTGGACGATGTGTACCTTGTCACACCTAGCCAGGTATGGATGTTTTGTCCATGTCATTTCAGATACTTACTGAACTTCCTGGTAGGCAGTGTGTGTGGGCTTTGTTTAACACAGTGGTCTCCAACCTGGAAGAGGCAGGGGGCGCTACCTAGGGGGTCTGATGGTGTTTCGATGGGAGCGTCAAGTAATTTAGAAATTTGTCGATTTGTACTTGTAATAATCCGGATTTTCAACTTTAACATTCCTGAAAACAAAACAGCGTTGACAGCCTTATATATAGAATGATCTCCGTTCTGCATTCAGACTAAAATAGCAGGCAGGTCAGTAAGTTTTATCCCGCCAGGACATCACGCAAGCGATAAACACCCGGTGATACAAAGAGCCACCATGCGGATGAGGATCATCCATGGAGAGGTTCCGGAAACCCCGTTCAGTCATTAGGCTATATCTGAGGCCCGACAATATTTAGAGCCCCAGGTAGAAGCCAGGGTTGAGCTTCAAAATAACGAAAAATTACAGTCCCATGAAGACGAGTGTTTGTAACACAAACTAGCATATAGAATCAAAATAAAACAGTATCAACCATCACCTTGTTATCTTTTTAATAGATATTTTGTTGGGTGTGGTGTGGGGCTTGAGGAGGCTTTTTAGACACTAAATTGAAGACCATCATAATTGAGCTTGGTAGATTCAGTACTAATGCAAAGTTTATTGTTTTATGTAAAATTGTATTTTAAAACACCTTTCCTCTACATCGTGGATGAAGCAATGGTGTATTCTTTGCGAAGTCGTTAAGGGTGTGTTTTTTTCGTGCTGTAAAATTCGCAGATTTCAGACTCTGTTCTTCAGGTTAAGACTGTCCTTTTTTTTTTTAAAAATTTGTGTCTTTATAAGCAATGACCATGTTGCGGACATTCTTTGATCCTAACATTGAAATACATTGCAATGATTTTGCACTCTGTCGCATGTTGGCGGTATATGGTCATCTGTTGCACGCAAATGGAAGCTAAACTACGTTTACAAAGCATCTATTTGTCTGAAAAAGACCAAAAAACTTGTTTATTAGACATGCCAAAGGCCTCAGCTACGCTTATGAAGCATCTTTTTGTCTGAAATTAAATATTTCTTATTCATTTTGAAACACAAAACTATAACAATATCCACAAATAAATATACGTATTTTAACCTAAAAATCACAACTAACGGTGAAAATGCAAATGTTACTAATTTGGAATATATTGGCGCTATATAGTCGCCCCCTTGTGGGATGCAATTTGTTTCGTTATTAGAAGCCCCACCCTGGCTTTTGTGGGAGCCGTGAATATAGCTGGGAGACAAATGTGGCCCTAACGCTGAAAGGGATTTTTGGGACCTCTCCACAGGTGATCCTCATCCGCATTGTGGCACTTTGTGTCACCGGATGTTTATCGCTTGTATGATGTCCTGGTGGGGGTAGAGCAAGCAATAACCTGGCTCGTTAATTTACAACAGTGGAGATTGCTCCTAAAAACAATGCAGATGTCAAATGCTGTGGTATAAACATCCTTTGGCATCACACCAGCATAACAACTTACGATGAACATTCTGAGAACGCATCGTTCCTGTTGTAACATACAGATGTGAATCATGGACTACTTTGCAATATAATGAAAAGGAATCTTTTGAACTCAAAAGATAAAGGATTTTAACTAATTTTGTAATTCCGTCGTGCTGGATTTGATCCCAGCTACGGACGATTTGGAACTAGCGACCTATGCCAGTACATAACATGCTGCGATTAGATTGCTCTGGAGAACTACAGAGGTAAAAAAAAAGGGGGGGGGGTGCAAGCGCATGGGTTAGCAATGTTAAAATATCTTAAGACATAGAGACAGAATAATGGTGTCTTAGGTCATTGTAAAAATGCGCAATGATGTACTATACTGTAAAAATTAATATAATCGTTTGAAAGTAGACTTACGATTTACTGAGCTTGCCAGTCTATGCTTCTAACATCTTATTTAATTGATAAATAAATTATGCAATATTAAATAATCAAACAATAGATAGGTCATAAATGACCATTACTGAATAGAAAAAAAAAAACTTTATATATCCCAATTATGACCCGGATGGGTAGAACATGATTTCGTTGTTTAAACTACTAATACTACTAATTATGATGTGAATATAAATTATACGCTTGTATGGGTAAAGTCATATATAAAAAACAGTAAAAATGCTAATAGTTCATATTGTTGGAGAAATTAACATTCGCAAACTCTGTGTGCTTACATTACACTGGTTATAATTGCTGCTTTTCAAAATAATGGGAAAATCTTCATTCATGTACATTTTTCTTGAATAAACGATACATATTAATAATATTCACACAAGAGAGAGAGAGAGAGAGAGAGAGAGAGAGAGAGAGAGAGAGAGAGAGAGAGAGAGAGAGAGAGAGAGAGATGAAGAAAGAGAGGAAAAGAGAGAGGATGATGCAGAAAAGAGAGAGGTCTAAAGTTTACAAACTTAAAAAAAAAAAAGTTCTATATTAAAAAGAGGTCTATATAGATGTTCAAATTTGGCCGCGCTCTGCTGCTCAGCAAAATCTATGCGGTGGCCGAACTCATCCCGCACTCGGAACTGAAGTAAAGGATCCTTGTTGGCACTCAAGTGGTTGGCTACGCAGCTACGTTCTAACAGTAGTATTCGAGACTTTAGACATTTCCCCTCTCTCTTGTATGCATATTATTCACATACAATGTATATCCAAGAAAACTGAGTAAATGAAAGTGCATTCATCATTTGTAATAACCTTGTATAATTCGTTTTTCACAGGTCATAGAGTGGATGAAGAAACCCACACCTGTTCACGAAATCAACGGGTTCGGACCTTGGTCTTGTCAAGGGGCAGCCAAGGATATATGGCAGGAGAAATAAGACTAAACAATATAACATGAGCAGATGAAAGAATTGTACAGCATGTTCTTTGTCGTGTTTCTTGCTGCAAGTACCACAGCATGTTCCTTTGTCGTGTTTCTTGCTACAAGTACCACAGCATGCTTTTTTGTCGTGTTTCTTGCTACAAGTACCACAGCATGTTCCTTGTCGTGTTTCTTGCTACAAGTACCACAGCATCTTCTTTGTCGTGTTTCTTGCTGCAAGTACCACAGCATGTTCTTTGTCGTGTTTCTTGCTCAAGTACCATAGCATTTTCTTTGTCGTGTTTCTCGCTACAAGTACCACAGCATCTTTTTTGTCGTGTTTCTTGCTACAAGTAGCACTACATAATTATATATATTATTTAGTCAACGTTCGACTGATTTATTGTGAATGTTATTATAAATTAATTGCTTGGTTTGCACGTTTTATCATGATTTCTTATAAGCTTTGAAAAAGTTTGTTCGCGGAAATGTCTAGTTTACATCCAGCAAGCCCAAAATATGTTATAATTTGTCATTGTTGAACAAGGATGCAGTTTGCAGTATTTTAGTACAGTTGCTGACTACTACGATAAAGGTGTAATGACTGAGAAATTATAAGACTGCCTTTATTTTGTTTTTAATAGTTCGCATTTTGTTTGTCAGTGTGGTCGATGTCAGCCTCAGGGTTATGTGTTATATATGAAGTCTACGTTTCCTGCAGGCTAGCACGAGGTAACTGAAACAGTTGTTTTAAATCCACTTAATTTTTCCCATGCAACATTTTCAGTACTAGACCCCATGACTCATTTTCATACTGGCTCATTCAGAATTATCATCACTTGTCAAGTAGTTCTGCCCCCCCCCCCCACACCTTTTTTTTCTGACCCTCATCCCTTCCCCCTCCTTTTCCACTAACTGTTCTGAATTAGTTTCTACAACAGTGTTCAAATAAAACATTATTTTCAGAAAATGATTATGAACATTCAAATTGATGAAGTGGATGAGAAGTTTCGTTGTACAAGTGAATAGGTTTTAACCTTTTCTTTTTTTGCATTATGAATAAAAGATGTGACCAGACCAGCTAACGGCTAAGTAAGGGAACTCAGTTAGTTGAAGAATCTTAGTGTGATTTAAATCAGAGTTGAGGTCCCAAAGGTTCAAAATTTCGAAAACTACTAAAAACTGAGATAAGGAAACTCACAACTATGACACAACCTCACAATTCCTCATGGTAATGTGCAGACTTGGTGGGCACAATATAAACAATTTACGTTACGCTGATGACACAGTCTTGATAGCAACAAGTGAGAAAGAACTACAGGAAATGATAGACATTGTGGTGTTAGAAAGTGGAAGAATGAGCCGCAGTTTGAATAATGGGAAGACAAAAGTAATGGTGGTATCAAAGAAACGAATTATTCCTAAATGTGTAATAAAAGTCAATGGTGTTATTATAGGACAAGCATAGAAATTTAAGTATCTGGGCACATGGATAAGATCAGATGAAAGATGCATAACTGAGATAAGAAACAGAATAGGACAAGCAAAAGCTGCATTTTATAAAATGAAGAATATCTTCTGCAATATATCCTTGTCTTTGAGAATTAGAATAAGAATTCTTGCTTGCTACATACATCAAGTTTTAACATATAGCTGTGAATCCTGGACAATCGGTAGGCAGGCCAAACTATTTCTAGAGGCCTCAGAGATGTGGTTTTACAGAAGAATGCTTAGAATACCTTGGACAACCAAAAAGAGCAACCAAGAGGTTTTGAAAGAGGCGGGAGCCCGAAGACAACTTATCACAGACATCAGAAGGAGACAGTCATCATTTTTCGGCCATGTTATGAGAAGAGGGAAAATAAAACATGTTGTGACCACTGGAAAGATCTGTGGAAGGAGGGATAGAGGAAGACAACGAGAGAAGATTCTTGACAGTCTTGTTGCATGGCAAAGAGGTGTGTCGGCACACGAACTGATACATGCTGAAGGAGATCGTGGATTATGGAGAGGCTTGATTGCCCACGCGATGATGATGATGATGATGATGATGATGATGATGAATGTGCAGACGATCTTATGTGTTCATGATGGTAGTAATGACGGTGAGATGAAATGAAAAGTCTTCTACTTTCTTTTAATGTGATTTCTTAGTCATTGGTCTGTTCAGTTTCTTGATGACTTTTAATGGTCAACACAAGTGACTTTAAAACACACAACGGCACATAATGCAAAATATCTTCCTACAAAATAATCTTGTGTTTGTGTGTTTTCATGTAAAAGCCTAAGCTCCACATTGGTTCAAGGAAACATCAACTCTGAATACACACTAATGCACATGTGTACATCCAAACAGACAACCAAGTACAGTTCACAGCAAAACAAGACGCCTGGGCATCACTGTAGAAGCATACATTCCCAAACTGCAAATTCCACGGCTACACACTTTCGATTGTCGACATCCTTTACTCTCGACGTCCTTCTTGCAATACTTTCAAAAATATAATAATCATCAATAACGGCTTCTGTCACTAAGTCATACTCCCAAGTCAGTCAGTCATAAGTTTCTCCTTGTGTCAACAGATATTACTATTCCTTTGTGGATCCCAGTAACACATGGACAATGTATAAAAATGCAAGATTTAGCTGACCATAACTGGATTACTGTAATATTCCAAAAAGAATGAAAGAAAAGGAGACCAACAATACCTAAACATAAAAAATTGAATATATATGCGATCTGGTATAAATGGAAACGATGGTAAACGACGTAAACAAGTATTGAGATAAAACCGATGGTGAGGTCCATGGGTTCTCTGGTTGGGTATCACTAGCATTTGTCTTTTGAAGAACTAATTCAGGCAGGAGGAGAGTTCAGTGTCCGAATCAACCATGCACTGTGCACGAAAAATTGAAACAGAGCCATTTGGCCTAAAGAATTGAAAAGAACAATCTATATCCCTCTCTCAAAGAAAGGAAATCTGAAACTATGCTCCAACTACTGTACCATCGCATTAATAAGTCTTGCTAGCAAAATGCTCTTACGAATTATCATAAAGAGGATTGAAAAGAAACTACAGTGTGAGTTACATGAAGCACAAGTGGGTTTCAGACCGGGTAGGGGAACTAGAGATCACATCTTTAATATGATAATATTTTTTTTTAATATAGGGAATATGATGTAGATCTCCATGCTTGTTTCACTGATTATATCAAGGCCTTTGATTGCGTCTAACATTAGAAATTGTGGAGTATCATGAGAATTAAGGGGTTTCCGGTGCATTTTGTGCATGTCATTAAAAAATTGTATCAGAGCAGATGGTGAAACATAGGACTGGTTCGAGGTGCAAAAAGGAGTGAGGCAGGAGTGTATTCTCACCATACCTATTCCTACCTGTTCATTTCCTAATACAGTGCAGAACCAGCCAGTCTATCTACCAGTTGATTTCCTTATACACAGGCATACCCAGGAGAAAATATCCAAAGGACACTAACTTCCCGGAACCTCTGAAGCGATGCTTGCCACTCTTCATGGAGCATACCAGTCTCCACCTTTCTCAACAGGCTCTGTGAGTTGGCTACAATTACAACAGTCGTGTACAGCTGACTCTCAAGTCAGCAAAAGACTACAGTGACTGCCTCCACCTCCATTCTCAGACTAGAAATGGTGATTGTCACATACCGCTCGTGTCGCGTGCCTGTTTTAAGGATTTCTCCTCAAGAACCAACAGCACTCTGAAATAGAATAATGTTGAGGTGTCGGCTCGTATTGGTCTAAAGGGTATCCCGTGGCCAAAAATCACCCAACCTATTTCAGGAGTATGGCAACTCAAGCTATGGCACTACAGAATATATAATATTCCTAGGCGCAACTTGGCTGGACGTCCCCACTACTATAAGATGATAGCCCCCAGGCAATGATATTGTAATATCACAGCCATGTTAAACAGATTAGGATTAATGGTTAAACATACATAAACTCTAGACAGTTTGAACAGTGAGTGATAGACACTCAAGTCAATAATGAAAACTTCCAAAAGCATGTAATAAATGCAACACATAGATATATCATTAAGACTCAAGTAAAGGTATTTCAGAGCAACTGGAATCAGGAGATCAGATACAAATTAATACTACTGAATCAGTCAGAGACCCTTCGAGACAGTCTATTATATCCTAGCGACTCAGAGTGGACCTGAAAATAGAGCACAAGGCATCACACCACAGAGTTCTATTTATCCAAGTTTGGTAGGCGTCACTGCACTCGTTGATTCATGATAATCTGAACAGGCTGACTCGGTTGGACTGCTCCTTTTGCTGGTTGCCTTGGTAAACACAGACACAAACAGAGTTCATATACTGGAACAGAGTTCATACACTGGAACAGAGTGCATATACTGGAACCCAACAAAGCTCCTGAAGAAGGTTCTCTTTGATTGATGGCAAATTGATGGCAGATAACAACTGTCTTTTAGCCACTGGAGCCCAAGCAAGCTTCTGGAGAGAGTTCTCTTTGACTGATGACAAATGGGTGGCATGCAACAGATGCTTACACACTGGTTTCCACTTTACAGTCTGCCATGGTGGAGTTGTAGTAGTAGGTAACTTAGTGGATGGTGGTTTGGTGGACTGTTGATTGACCGCCTGGCCTTCAAGAAGATATCATCCCAAGCTCAGGATTCCTCTAAAGATTAAACTGGTACTTTGTTCAAGACAAAAATTAATCACAAAGGCGAAACCCTTCTTATCACCTTGAAAGACTTACAGAGAATGCCGCGGGACGACTTAGCGTAGCTTCCCAAAAAAAAAAGAAGTTCCCAAATTAATACACCGAGGAGTAAAAAGGCTACTCGGAATCTCATTAATAATCTAGAAAATATCTATCCCAATACTGTAAGTTTGAAAATGTAGACTTCACAAGACATCTAGAGCATACAGAAATACCTATTACACCAGATAAAGATAAATAGATATGATGGACTATATACCCACCGGACGGGCCTATATTTGAAATGT